AGAGTAAAATTGATACACACAAAATACTATACTTTATGAAAAAGAGAAATTATGACTTCTTCGTATATAGGAAGACAGTATGAGGAACTGTTTCCTATATTGCAATAGAATTAGTGCAACATTAATGTGTAATGACAAAAAAGTATATGGTGTATACGCCTTTAAATCTGTAAATACAGAGATAAGATGGAGTATATACCAAAATAATGTTCTTTGTATTACAAAGATATAAAGTTTAAACCTTATAAGGTAGAGATACAGTATAGATGACTGTATTCTACAATAAAGTGAAAACAGTAAAAATTAATAAAATCCAATAGATTTAAAAATAGTACAAAGTTTATTATAAAAGTGACTGTGCCAAAGCATAAAAATACGGTATGTAAAGAATAATAATATATAAAAATATCAAAATATCAGTCAGGGATGGTTTGCAAGATTGTTACCAGCACATCTGTGTTCGTAATTCCGATTCAAGTTTGGTTGTCTGTTTTTTTATTTTTTATTTTACCTAACTTTGTTGTAACTGTTTGATGCTGCAGGAGCAAATAAGGAATTATTGCACAATATTCACCATCTGCTATTAAATCTGCACTTTTTGTCAAATTAAAAAAAGGGGAAATAGTCTTCAAACATAAAGCATTTTAGCAAATAAAATGCTTTAGGACTCTGGATTATCCAATTACAATTTCATTTCACTACAATTTGAGGTGTTGTGAAAAAATCCCAATGGTAATTTTCTTTTTTTTTTTTTTTTTTGCAGTTTTCTGATTTAAGTAAAGAGTGAGATTTAAGTGACAGATTCACTTTTAAATGTAAAATTTAACAAAAAAGCACCTTTCTTTTTTTAGCTCTGAATAGATGTTAGATTACAGTTGTATGGTCTTCGTTTGAGATCTGTTATTTTATCACTGACACATTTTATAAAAGTAACTTCTTTTGAGAGTCAGTAAAAGCATATTTAGATAATGACTTTGGTTTTATTCTTATAACTTTGAGGACACATTGATTTTTCTCAGAAGTTTAATTATCTTTTATTGTTGTGCACATAAATTAATCCTTTTGCCTGAATGAAAATAATGAGTTTCATAAAATATGATCATATAACAGAAGAACGCACTAACAATTATCATTGTTATAAAGAAGGATATTGTTATAAAGTCTCAGAAAAAGGATGGGGAATCTATGCAATTAAAAAAATAGACAAAAAAAAAAACACAATGCACACACAAAATGTGTAAGAGCATGAAAAAACTATTCTTTTTTTTATGGACAAATTGTTGCATTTTTATGTTTTGTTTTGTTTCCTGCACTGTGCTAAAGTGTACCATCCTTGAGTTTCAGTTAATGTTTGGTAGAAGAAAGAGATCGCAATGAGAGATAGACAGGAAAGAAAGGAATACTATGCGGTTAGGTATGTACAGTTACAAATTGGTAGCTAAAATAATGGTAAAATACCTTTAAAATGCCAGGAGTGGAGAGTGGGAAAAGTGGGAAAAATAAAAAAATTTGAAATATAATAACATGCCATACATTCTAACTGGATGGCTGCCTACTTCCTTAAACTAAACTTGACCAAAACTGAAATTCTGGTCTTCCCTCCTTCAAGTGTTGTTACTCCTGTGTCTGTCTCCCTCCGAGTCAACAGTGCTACCATCAGCTCCACCATGCAGGCTCATTGCCTAGGTTCTCTTTGACTCCGACCTCTACTTCAAGCCTCATGTTCAGTCTATCACCAAATCCTGCCATTTCCATCTCAAAAACATTGCGCGCATCTGCCCCTACTGAACGCCTGATGCGACTTACGGTCCATTCCACTGTCCTTTCTCGCCTTGACTACTGTAATCCGCTTCTCAGTGGTCTTACATGCTCCCAACTTGCACCCTTACAGTCCATAATGAATGCGGGGACGAGGCTCATCTTCCTGTCTGCCCGCACCTCCCATGCCTCACCCTTCTGTCAGTCCCTACATTGGCTTTCTATAAAATATAGAGCTCAATTTAAAATTCTGGTTCTTTCTTTCAAAATCTCTACATAATGCTGCTCCTACCTATCTATCCTCCTTTATACACAAGTATGTCCCCTCTAGGTCCTTACAATCTGCTGAAGACTTAAGTCTATCTTCTGTCCATACTCCCACCTCTGATGCTTGCCTTCAAGATTTCTCGAGGGCTACACCGTTCCTGTGGAACTCACTTCCCTCCTCCGTTAGATGCTCACCCAGTCTCCACTCCTTCAAAAAATCATTAAAAACCCACTTCTTCATAAAAGCGTATCAATTGAACTGTTAATAGCTCCCGACTGATTCCTCTTCTGCAACTGTCACTAGTCTAATACTACCCTTACCTTTTTGTGTCATTTTACCCCACTCCCTCTAGCAAAATATCCTGCCTACCTAATAATAGTGGGGTAGTGCAAAAAAACTAAATACCTGTAAAATAAAAATTGAATACTTACCATTAGGCTCTTTTTTCAGCCCTAAATAAGGACAAATCAAAACCCATAAGGTCGCTTAGAACTGTTAAATTGGAAAAAAAAATCCAGACTAAGTGGCTACTAAATTATGTGATAAATACACAGACCTCTTAAAACACGAATTACTATAAAAAGACATAATAGTTGGATTAAAACATCCTAAAAACAAGGACCAATGGTCCTATAAGAATGGACTAGACCCTAAAAAAGAAGATTGTATAAAAATAATACTAGTAGAAGATAAAATATAAAAGATAATATTATGACACAAATAAACAAAAGTGTGAAGTTGATATAGACCCATCCTAAAGCCAGCTATTATGTGAGGTTAAGTGGTTAAAGTCAAGCATCTTCAGACAGTAGGTTAATATGTCATTATAAAAGTTGAGCACCCTAGAAAGATGATGAATATAACAATCCTAAAAAACAGAGGAAGGAAAAGCCATAACTCAGGAATAAAAAATTAAAAGGGAAAAGATAAATACAATATCTCAAGGGATAAAGATAACATTCCTACAGTGCTAAAATAGAATAAAAATCTATACATAGAGACTATTCCGCAATATACAGTGCTACCTATTATCTAGACTACAGGAACGCATTTAGCTCAAAGTCTAGATTTAAACCTTTTTGTTTCCAATGTGTCTACATAAAAAATCTATTTGGCTTTGGTTCTATCTTGTTCTTTCTCCAACTCCCCTCCTCTCCAATGAACATTGTCTATTGCATAAATTTCAGGCCATCTGGATTCCTAGAATGAAACAGATCAAAAAGTCTAAATGTTCCCCCAGCCTTATCTTAAATTGTCACTTAGTCCGACCTACATATTGTTTATTACATGGACATGTTAAAACATAAATAATTCCCATTGAATTGTAATCCAGTATTGATTTAATAGGAAACTTTTCTTTAGTTTCTTTATGAAAAAATCCTTAATCCAAGGTTCCTGTGCCGTGTTGTTAGTGCAACCTATACACTTTCCACATTTTCTAAATCCATGTTCTTCTATTGCTGTCTTATTTCTCCCATTCCTTTTGACCATAGGGGCCAGCAAGGATTTGAGATTGGGGGCTCTGGAATATATAATTCTGGGTTTATCCCCTAGACATTTTTCTAAAATCGGTTCTCCTTTCAAAATATTCCAATTCTTGTGCAGGATGTTCCTAAGCCCTGCTCTCAGTCAGATGAAGAAGAGAGGAAGTACCGCTGGCGGACCCCAGGTAAAAAAATCAAACCATTTCTAAGCAGTTTGACTACTTAAATCTATGGGGATGCATGGACACTCCTGGCACCACAAGCTTTCTGTAGTGCTTTAAGATGAAATTAGTGATGCAATGTCAATCAATGAAGGAATGGAGGAAGATATATTTATATCTCTTATAAAAAAAAGAGGTAAAAAGATAATAAAAGGATAAAAGAGAAGGTAAAGAAAAATAACGGAGGAAAGGTGAGGAAG